ACCGGTACCGGGCTGGGATTGGACCGAACTACGGTCTACTGACCGGTACCGGGCTGGGATTGGACCGAACTACGGTCTACTGGCAGGTACCGGTCTGGTTTCTCACTAAATCCTGTCTTGTGTTCCTCCAGGGCTGTGCCTCCTGGAAGTGGTATTTTCCGTTCCATTACGCTCCGTTTGCCTCGGATTTCAAAGACATCAAGGAGATGTTCTCAGACTTTGAGAAGGACACCAAGCCGGTGAGGAAGCTTTGGCCCTTAGGGGTCCATAAAGCCGGCGGGTCGACGGGTTCTGACTCATTCTGTCTGATGTTCTGTTCAGTTTAAGCCTTTGGAGCAGCTGATGGGCGTGTTTCCTGCCGCCAGCGGTAACTTCCTGCCGCCATCTTGGAGGAACCTGATGATGAGTGCGGTGAGTTGCATGATGCAAAGAATCAGGTGACGTACTGCCAGCTCTTTCAGGTCCTTTACCTGTTGATGTGTTGCAGGAATCCTCCATCATCGATTTCTACCCCGATGACTTCGCCATCGACCTGAACGGGAAGAAATACGCCTGGCAGGGTGAGTCTCTGTTTCTAAACAAAGTTACTTTAAATGACGGACAGGTCGGTTTTCCGGACAGGTCGGTTTTCCGGACAGGTCGGTTTTCCGGTTTGTGTTTCTAAAATCAGACTGTTTCTTTCAGTTTTTCATAACACCTGACTTTGAGAATCACAGAAACAAAATTTCTCTCGTGGTTCTGTTGGGACCCAAAATGTTAGAATTCTTTAGAACAAAAATCCAGAAACTGGGGATGATTTTTCTTCATTTGCCCGAAACCAGATGGGGAAAAAAGGTTTATTGAAATTCAAATTCTACATGCTGTCCAAAACATTCACAAATGCAGAGCTCATCATCGTCACAAAGTCTTAAAGCATTTACACCAAACCAGACGCCACCTCAGCCTCATATACCTTCCTTAAACATTGTGTGAATGTATGAGCACCACCGAGTGCTATGTGGAAATCTAACTGGAATGTGAGAATGTTTTGGCCCCAGTTGTATCCATGCATGATAGCCTGATGTTCATGCAAGGATTCATGTAGAACTCTGTGTTGTGCTCTGATACCTAAAAAGGAAAAAGATGTTATTGCCAAGATTCCCCGGCTTTTGAATCTGCTACTTCCTGTGTATGTGGTCTTCTGCGCGTATTACAAATTGGGGAAAAAGAAGCCTTTTTACTGAGCCACAAATAAGACTCAAATGTCATTACTTCTGCAGTTACAGCTTAAACCTTAATCCTGAGCGTAAAAGAAGCCTCCATCCATCCATTTTCTTCCACTTTATCCGGGGTCGGGTCGCGGAGGCAACAGCCAAAGCAGAGATGCTCAGACTTCCTGATCCACACATACCTCCTTCCAGCTACTCTGGGGGGGGACGCCGAGGCGACACCTGGCCAGCTCAGAGACTTAGGCCGTTTCTCGATTTACAAGAACGCAAATACGGACTCACGTTCTCGTCAAGTCCAGTCTCGGCAAGAACACAGGAAGTATGGACTTAGCGAGAACACGAGCACGCAGCATAGATATGGGTCGATTGGAACAGAAGCGTACTGATGACATCACAACACGCTCAGCTCGTCTAGAGCTGTATTTCACCTCCTGTTATTAATGGTCTCTAGATGATAATAAATTATGACTTTTCAGTTTTTGGAGGAATAATAATGAACACAGTCAGATAAACGGAAATCAAATGAACATTTTGCCAAATAAAACAAAATACTCTCAGAGCCAGCGATCCTTCACACACAGCTATGCAGAGAGAGGGCTGCTGCAGACGGGCTAACGTTGGCCCTGGCTGCTGCAGACGGGCTAACGTTGGCCCTGGCTGCTGCAGACGGGCTAACGTTGGCCCTGGCTGCTGCAGACGGGCTAACGTTGGCCCTGGTTGCTGCAGACGGGCTAACGTTGGCCCTGGCTGCTGCAGACGGGCTAACGTTGGCCCTGGTTGCTGCAGACGGGCTAACGTTGGCCCTGGCTGCTTCAGACGGGCCAACGTTGGCTCTGGCTGCTAGTTATATCTGTTTAATTTGTTGGATCAATTAACTATTTTCAACGTTTAAAGAACCAAATGATCCAATTGAGAATAGTCCTGTTTTTCT